GGGGGGGGGGTCCCAACACCGGGAGAAGGTGAGGAAGAGTGCTTACGGCGGTACGTGTGGTTTGGGGTGTGTCTTGCTACCAGACTTGAGCAAATGATAAGAGCACGACTCAACCGCAACTTTTGCAACTAACGCTGTTGATTTTTTGTTCATCCCATTTCGAAACCTCTCTAGCAGATTTTGCTATCCCTGTGACCCGCGCCTCTCCAACTGACGAACTTCGATCGAGGATCACACAAAACGTAATTTAATGTGAAGCAAATTACCGAGACACAGCTTTCCACATGGCATAAAAATCAATTACGATAGCCAGGCTCTCACCACAGCTAACAACATTCACAATGGTTGATCGGCTGTACCACATATTTTTCCACGACTAGCCAAGTGGTGTCTACCTCACATCGAACACATCCTGCACGACAAAGTAGGTGGTATCCATCTTACATCGACGACGAGAGCACAGGTGGAGGACGCCATGAGCTCCTTCATGTCCGCCGTGAGGTTCTCCCTGTTCTTTTGGTTGAATTTGGCCACGTTGTAGAACACGTCGCCTGAAAGACCAAAGTCAACAAACACGCGTACGACAACACGCACATGACGGTTGACATGAACGTTGCGTAAACAGGACAGGGTGAGCGTTGGTCACGCAGCTACCTTTCCCCGCGCAAAACAGCGATGCGTGGCCGTAGTGGAACGGTCATCCCGGTCAAGCTAAAGTGGCAGAAGATAACCAGGACGAGCGTTGGTCACACAGCTACCTTTTCCGCAAGCCACTACATCGGTGCATGACCGGAGTGAAATTATTATCCTGGTCAAGCTGCGGTAGGCACAAAATAATCAGGACGATCGTTGGTCACACAGCTACCTTCCGCAAGCTACATCGGTGAATGATCGAAGTGAAATGATTACACCGGTCAACCCACCGTACGTGACACGAGATTTCACAACTCCTGGACCGACTGTCAAAGCTCGGATTTATCACACAACAGCAAGATAACATCGAACGAACGATGAGCTTCCGGAAACTTCTCGACTGGAAATTCCCAAAACGTCGCCATTTCGCATCAACCTCACCGGCGTAGTGCTTTATTCCGAAGGAGATGTCGGGGTCGAACCGAGGCGATACGAAGTGCGGGTGGCCGAGAGTGTTCTTCCGCCTGCGCAACAGCCGCAACAGCCGCAACAGTCACAACAATGTACGGCCACATGAGCAACAACAGCGACATTCAAATCGTCGTGCGGATCAACAGCAACAAAATATTATGGTAACGCTAACGCTAACGCTAACGCTAACGCTAACGCTAACGCTAACGCTAACGCTAACGCTAACGCTAACGCTAACGCTAACGCCAACGCGATGCAGCGCAGAGAAAGGGTTAGATCCTCACAACGTCCACTCAGGGACAAAAAAAAACAAAAAAAACAAAAAAAACAAAAAAAACAAAAAAAACAAGAATCCTACGTGCATGGCAAGGCAATCGCAATGGACCAACCTCATCCAACACTGTTGACAGCAACAGGCATCCGCCACATGCGATACTAGGAACAGCTCGTTGATGGCACCATGAATGAATGTGCCGTAGGAATAGCACATTGCACACTGACCGAGAAACGGTGATCGTTCGACGACAGTCTACGTAACCTTAAACTTCGTGGGAAAGCCAAGGGGAACAAGCGCTCCAGACGAGACACGAGCAGCAGGTGTAGACAGTATTCAGACTCATTAGAGTCACCACACGGTGTTCCCTGATAACCTTTTCAGACTCAAATGTACAAGAATCACCACATCTTCTGCTTTTTCGTTCTGGTTCGAATTTCCTCAATCTCCGGTCAACTCACCTCGTGGCTGGAGAGGAAATGGAGCCGTACGTAGACCCGGCCTTGGCCATACTTCCCCTGAAACGTCCACACGGCGATCCAGGAGAACCCACAATACCGTGAGAGACACAGACCAACAGCCATGTGCAACACACGAGACCGTGCTTTGCTAGTGAAACAAGTTTCCTCGCAGCACCGCAAGACACGACGCGATCAGACACGCCACACACACACCGACGGTTTCAGCAACTACAGCAGTCACAGCCTTCAAACAACATCAGCCTGGACTTCCTGGACCATCCAGGCGTGTGTCCATCGGCAACAAGTTGACAAGATACCCGAAAAGTTCATTCGCCAGTCGCCAACTTGACTCTTCAAATTCTCCAGGGTGGTTTTTCTGGTAGCCCGGGCTGATGCGTCCACAAAACTACCGAGAGGTGGAAGAAGTGGTAGGTGACGTCCAGAACGAGTACGAAAACCACAAAAAAAATGCAGGCGCACCTCATGTTCGCGCCGCCGCCGCCGCCGCCGCCAGCGGAAGGACCGTGTTTCTGCTTGAAGCTGCTGAGGAACTTGAGGTTGGCCTCTTTACCCTCAAACCGCTGGATGTCGTCTAGGCAGGAGAAGAGGCCGCCCTTGCCGTCGATGAGCTCCAGACACGCCTGCACAAAACATAATCGAAAAATCAAACGCAGTCATGTACGAGTAAACACTGCTGCATGATTCGAAGCGAGGAAACCACGATCAAACTGCAATTGTAGGCGAAAGCGCCCATCGCAGCAGAACAATTACGGGGCCTGCGCGCGTAGCGAATCAGGCAACAGAGGCCGCCGCTTCACAACACCGACTGACTCGGATGAACACAATAAAAACAGCCAAATACACAGATTACAGCAGCCTTCACAGGGTGTTTGTATTCAGCAAACATGTTGGACAAAGCATACAATCGGGTAAGTTGGGTTGGGTTGGAGTTACGGACTAGGGTCTGCGTACCCCCTTCCTGTTCTATTTCCTCATTAAACTCAATTTCTCGCTAAGGCGGCCCCTAAATAAACTCTTACATATGCCTGCTAGGGGTGTATTCTACAGCCAAGGCGAACTAGCGTTCCGAACGCGGGCGACCTTGCTCTCGAGACATGCCTCCAATGGAGAACCAGCGTGCTGTCGCTGGTTCCCACCAAGTTGTCATCACGTGATGGGTGTTCTATTCAGAAGCTGAGGGACTTTTTGGGTGTCTGCAGCAAACGTGAATGTTCGTGTGAGGTATCTACGGTATCTACGGCCGTGCACCTTGTTGTCGTTGAAGGTGATGTAGCTCCAGTCGATCTGCTCGTTGTCGTAGTCAATTTGCTCCACCTCGAACATATGCCTGGTGATATGCATACCAAAACGTTCCAGCGTTGTTAAAGAAAGAGGTGGAGCTTTGACACCCAGTTTCAAGCATGTCGGAATGCCTATTGATGCGAAAAACGTGGCGGCGGTGTAAAAAAAAAGGTGGTGATTCGCAAAATTGTAAGCATGTTGGAACCTCAAGGGCTTACCCACTGGACCAAGGACGTCTCCCGTGGTAAACACGCCTACATCGCTTGATTTCGGCTGGCCGCCAAAAGGCGCGCCTTTCCGGTGTGGTTGGCGAGTGCATTCGAACGTTTTTCAATTCCCCAAGGCACTCCAGGGCACGCGACTTTTGAACTCAAGTTTTGTCATCTAGTTGGAATAGGAATAGACGTCACTCATGTGTTTATTACACCTACACCCATCTAGGACTACCCCCGACCTAAGGCACACGACTGTTGCAGTGTGAGGTAAGTGCTGCTGCATTTGCCGTCTACTACTAGCAACAGGTTTCGCCAAGATCGATATTCACTGATGTATCTCTACCATCTTTCTCTACACCCATCAATAATACGATAATACGAGACTGTTTACGCACTGGTTGAAGTGGCGCTGGAGGTGCTCGTTGGCGTAGTTGATGAGCAGCTGCTCGAGGCTGTTGGTGTTGAACTTCTCGAAGCCGTAGATGTCCAGTACGCCGATGAAGCCCCACACGTCGCTGCCAACAGCCAACAGCCAACAGCCAATAGCACGACAACAATAAGAGGGTGAGAGGGTGAGAGGGTGAGATGGTGTGTGCATCTCGCAAAGGTGCTCCGGGCCGCCGCAAGCTAACCATACATTGAGCAAGATGGTAAGAATGCAGGAGAGACAAAACCTGGGGCTATACAGAAGGCGGCATAAGATACCGCATCCCGTTGGACCCATGCCAATGTTCGATTGCCTCCACGATCAAGAGGATGCCAACAATAGACCATACGCTTGCGGAAAGCTCTCGACGAGACGGTTCCAACGCTGTCATTACTTTGCCATTTTCGACACCGTCACCGGCTTTGCTACATGCACGTGTACAGAGAAACCGGCTGTGAAAATCGGTTCGGGGTGTGTGCTGGTGTCTTGTGCAACGTTCTCAAGCAACTGCAACACATTTGTCGATCCGTGCGCTCCACAATACATGGCTTTGAACGCCCACGAAAATGCACGTCGTCTCCAGCCTTCTGCACGAGGTACGGTAAAAAGTGTCCCCAGCATCCGTTCGGTTGGGCTGATTACCCCTTTCGCTCTCGTTTGACTGCTGTTGGGGCTCTTCCTAATTCCTTCGCCGGGGGAACTGATTCAATGCACACCCCATCTCTGTCGCTGCAACTTTACCTTTGCTTGACTCCTCGGTGTCGGCCACATGTGGGTCTTTAAGTGCACATTATCTCGACGTTCTGCACCAAGTGGGAAAATGTGCCACCGTGCGCACTCGGTTGGGCTGATTCCCCTTTACTGTTTCTGTTGACTCTGCTCATGGGTTTCTTCAAGATTCCAATCGCTGACGTCACCAAAATCGACTGTTAAAGAGGCCAGACAGGTCTTGCCCGCTCTCGATGATGATGATGATGATGATGATGTTGGCAGTGGCACCTAACTCCTAGCACGCCGACATCATCATCATCATCATCATCAAAATCGACAGCGGTGAAGACCAGTCTGGTCTCTCCAGCTGTCGATTTTGGTGACGTCAGCGGTTGGAACCAGGAAGTATCCCATCAGCAGAGTCAACAGAAACAACAGAGGGGAATCAGCCCAGCTGAGCGCGCACGGTGGCACATTTTCCCACCTCGTGCAGAACGTCGAAATACTTCGTGTACTTCAAGACCCACATGCGGCCGACACCGAAGAGCCAAGCAAAGGCAATGATGAATCGACAGAAATGGGGTGTGCATTGAAAAGGTTCCCTGGCGACCGTAAGCTAGACTAGACTCCCGCGACAGAGGGCAAGACGGCCGGACCGGGGGCTACCCTCTGCTACATTCTACAATACACCGGGGAAATGAAAGACAACTTCGAAAATGAAAATGGCACGGTATTTGTAGGATGCACTGCATACATATCGACGGTATGGTTACAAGTAGTCGAGGATAGCCCCAGGGCCTTGTATGCTCGTGTAGTCCTGCCACCCAACACCTGCCGTGGGAGTTCCAAGTGCGAGAACACCGACGATCCTGCGAGGACACATTCACCTCTGGGGTGCAGATATGGTGGTGTTCAGCTTGGCCACGAGCCACAGGAAGAGCTGGCTGTAGAGAGCCTTGCCCAGGGCGGCCACCTTATCGTGGGCCTGCTCCACCGTCTGCAGCATCATCGTGTTCGAGCTGCGCACCTGCAGCAGCAGCAGCAGCAGCAACAACAACAACAACAACACAAGTAAAAGGGAAACAAAGCAAGCGAGTGGGTACACATGGTGATGGTCAACACATGAGGCGAGATGAAAAAATGGTGCAGCATCATCATATCTATGCTGCGCACCTGTCACTTGAACAAAACAAACGCGGCACACTCTGTTCCAACTCCTGCCCCCCCTGCCTGTAGAGCCCCTTAACTAGAAATTATGTTGGTGTATATATTTTCCCACCAAATGATGAAAGCGGTCGACCGGTGAGCGCCGTCGATGCCCAAAAAGTGGCGCACACATAGGGGCAACAGGGCACACATGGCTATAACCCCTAAACGAGGCGAAACAAAAAGATGTGGCACCAAAGACAAACAGGCAAGTGAAAGGAGAGTGACCATCATATTATTACAACAAAAAGTGAAGCCACACAAGCCAGTAATTGGAGCTATCGTGCCTTGTTCCTACGGATACGTGTAAAGGCAACCCATCCAGCCGGGCCGACTGCGGTACGGTGTGGCAGGAGAGAACAAATACCCGGAAACGCCCTCAGTGCACGTCACCCACCAACTAGGTATAAACAGCGTTGAGGAGATTGTGCCGTTCTGAAGAGGGTCTTCACGCACGGGTGCCTGATAGGACAACGCTGCGATGGAGGCCATATATACATGGTTGTCGCTACAATTTATTCCCCACCCATGTCCTTTCTACAGTCTAAAACCACGTGACCCTTACCAGAATTTAGGATAACGGGTTAGTACGCCACAGCTGCACTACATGTAGAGGTCACAAACGACACGACTCTAATCTCGTGCTCTCAAAATTTCTTACCGCCATGGTCTTGGAGACCGCCGCTTTCTCCAGCCTATCCGCCTCCACTCCAAGCAGCTCAGCGGCGAAGGCCAACGAGGGCCTCGTGCTGTCTCGGATCTCACAAGCCTCGCCCTCGTTAACGTGGACTGAATCAACCAGTAGCATCAACACACCAAATACGTCAAGAGACAACGCTCAACGAGATGGCGAGACACGTGAGTAGACGCAAACGGCGCTGCGTGAGGCATGGATATTACGCGGTTCACGTCGACGAATGCAAGGATTTTGCGAGATGTTTCGCCCATTCTTTAACGCAGTGTTGGGGGGTTCGCGTGCAGGATCCTGGCAAAGGGTATGCACGGATCGTGGTAATTTTGTAGTGACTTGAACGAGGAATGCTCGTAGGGTCGTTCCTAGCAAGAGGTATGTGTGCATACGATCCACACTCGGTTCTTGTCGCACCGAGGATAGGTGCGGGAGTGTAGCGAACGACTAATATGGATGCGATTCCGAGCTCAGTACCGAATGCCTTACGGCTGCGCTGCAAAGGTGCACATAGCTGCCTCAACAGCGCCCCCCTCCCCAAAAGGTAACCGAAACCCACCAGGAGCGCACAACAAGATATACACGATTGCACTGAACACACCAAGGTTGGTCATTCCCTTCTGTTCTGTCCCCAAATAAACAAGAGCCATCGTCGTCACACCGGACTCCAAGTCCAGCGTTGCTTATTGCGTTGATTCAATCAAAAGAATACAGCATCTTCACACACACGACGCCACACCGCACCTGACTCGAAGCCGACGTTGAGGAGGTGCATAATGGCCGCGATGAGCCTGAATATGGCGTCTTGCCCGTGCTCCCCCTCCTTGCTCACTGGGGCCACGCCAATCTTCTTCAGGCACTCCGTAGTGCGCTGCGCAGCAACAGAAGTGGTAACGGCGCCATCAGCGAAGCGACACACGGTACGATTCATCTCCAAATAGAACGACTCGCCCTAGTCACGTATATTCCGATGGCTTAGGGAAATCGGGGACAACAAAGCGTGTCTCCCGACATACAGCAGCTAAGAGGCGCACGGCGCAATCGATCTCCAAACAAAAACGACCCGCCCTAACAACGCAAAGTCCGATGGGCTAGGGATCAAAAGATCGTTTGCCCGCCGGCATCGTTATCGCACACTGTTAGGTTCCTCATTTTCACGACGAGCTGCTCTTTCGGAAGACGAGGGACCTCTCTGAACTAGTGAATCAACACGTTGGGGAGCCTGAGAGAAGGTACAAGCTTCCAAAAAGCACCGCTTCAAGGCAACAGGCGAGGACTGCCACCAACGGGGCGTGTGTCCGATGCGCTACTACAGGAGTGTGTCTGGGGTGCGCCAGGTCTTGTGAGAACGGGGCACCCAAACACGGTTCGCGCGACTGGATAATTTACTGAGGTAGTCAAAAACGGGCAAATACCTGTCTATCCAAGAACATTTATCCACAAAGAAATGTATCCAAGGGCATGTAACCAAAAAGGTATCCACATCCAAAAGGACATGTATCAACTTCCATCAAGAGGGTTACTCTTGATCGATAACGGCGCTCCACAGGATACTAATGACTCGTCGTGCCCCCGAACGCAACCTCCCCCTTCACAACATTCCACAAAAACGCCTTCACACTCTCCAGGAAACCTCTTGCCCGGACCACTTCTCTACCGAACACCACCGCGTACGTACGTGAAAGTCAGGCGCGTCCTCCCCTTTGATGCTGGATCCCTTGAGGCACTGGAAGCCGGTGACTCCCTTGTCCAGCTTGAGCTCCTCCTTAAGGGCATCGGACGACCCCGCCAGCAGCTGGTAGAAGATGTGGTAGCTCCGCTCTCTTTTCGCCTGGGCCACGATCCTCGTCTTTTCCAAGAGGTAGTTTTGGATCTACAGCAGTAGTAGCATGCGCAAGAGCACGGAACAATCACAGCAACGCGCACAGAGAGAGGCGTTAGATCAGAGTATTGTGCAGGAGTGACCCACGGACGCCCCACCCGAACAGTGGTTGTGCTAGCGCGTGGCATCTCACACCAATGCAACAACTACGGACAACAAGCAACACCAAGGCGACATGCTTGCTAAATCATGAGCATGAGTCAAGCAACACACCAAACCGCAAGCAACGCCCCCCCCCCGCGCTCGTTCACCCCGTATCGCAGCCGATACCCCGTTACCCTCCCCCCAACACTCATTCACTTTTGCGACCCCCAAAGCCCACCCCATCGCCCCGCCCATACCACCCCCCCAACTCTACTCACTTGTGCCCCCCTAATCCTCCCCTTCTTGTCGAACTGGATCTTGATGAACTTCCCGAAGCGCGACGAGTTGTCGTTCTTGAGGGTCACAGCGTTGCCGAAGCTCTCCAAGAGCGGGTTGCAGCTAAGCACCCTGCTCTCCAGGTCTCCCACGTGTAGCATGATGGCCTCGCTGGCTGCTCGGGAGTCTCTGCACGCATCAGAAACCTCGCTGCAGAATCCGGTGGGGGAGAGGGGGTGGACGAAGATGGAGTTTTGCTGATGATTGGAGGTTTTCTCGATGTCAAGTCAAACGAATCGGGGGGCGTCGCTAAGATGCGGTGGGGTGTCACTTGTCGTGAACGGATCTCTAGGGTTGCATATCATACAGACGTCGACAGCGTACACCGGCCTTGAATCCATCGGTACAGACAGCACCCGACAGCAGCAGCAGCAGTAGCAGCAGCAGTAGCAGCAGCAGTATCACCAACTTCAACGGCAACAACAACAAACGCCTGAAACAAAAGTTAACCCGCTGCGCCAATACTCAGCAGGAGCAGCAGCAGCAGCAGCAGCAGCAGCAGCAGCAGTATCAATAACTACAACGGCAACAACAACAAACGCTTCAAACTAACGTTCAAGTTCCTCACCCAGCATCTGACGCCCCAATCGCTTCACCCGACGTGATCCTGGCTAGGTACTGCATGATGATCTTCGTCGCCTCTGTCTTGCCCGACCCACTCTCCCCGCTGATGATGATGGACTGGTTTGAGGCCCTAGCCTTCCTGGCGCGCACGTCCTTCTTAGTCTCGGACTCGGCTTCCAAGTGACCCTTCACCTGATCGTGTGTTGCCGCGGTTGTTTTGCTACAGGTTATCACTTTATTGCTTGCTACGATGCCATCGTCGGTGTTGTTGTTGTTGTCGTCGTCGTTGTCATTGTGGTTGCAAGAACAACATGTTTTGAACTGCACCACCTCAGTACTGCTTATGCCTCCCTGCTCTTCAGCCCGAAGTTCTTCCGGCAAAAACCAACCACCTCACCAACACAGCCCGCGACAACTCTTTGAGCACCTATAGTACTAGACTCAACGGCCAGGTAATGCCAGAAACGAAAAAAAAAAACACTGTGGACGGATACAAGGTACACCACGGCATATACATACCCTTTCTTACTCATTCTACAAGATATTTCTGCGGGACACAGGACCCCCCCCCCCCCC